AAGGATATATACATATACTGTGTGTATATGTATGCACATATAAGAGATACTTTTCTGCACAATAGACATTCAAATCCTCTGTATAATGGTTCTAAACACCCTGTTTCAGATGATGAATGATGCCCGTGTGTACAGAATGGAAGCCTTTGCCAGCATGACGGCCAGCTACTGCAACCTTCTCATCCCCGCAGCTGTCACAAGGTAAAGCAAAGGGCGTGTGTGGTCTTTTTTTTAATTTTTTTCTTTTCTATTCTTTCTGTCTTTTGTTTTCTCTCTCTTTCTTTCTTTCTATTTTTCTTTTTATTCTCTTCTATTTATTTTGTTTTGTTTCTTTCTCTTTTCTTTGTTTCTCTACTCATACTTATTTTTAATTATCATCTTTCATTTGTTTCATTTCTTAGCTTTTAATTAAACTTGCATATAAAGGTGAGTGTGTGTGTGAGAGTGTCTGTTTATGTGAAAGAGAGAGAGAGAGAATGTGTGTGTATGAGTGAGAGAGAGAGAGGAGAGAGAGAGAGAGAGAGAGAGAGAGAGAGAGAGAGAGAGAGAGAGAGAGAATGAGAAAGAGAGAGAGAGAGAGAGAGAGAGAATGAGAAAGAGAGAGAGAGAGAGAGAGAGAATGAGAAAGAGAGAGAGAGAGAGAGAGAAATGCGTAAGGAGCTTCCCGACAGTAATCTTCTCTCCTTATCTCCTCCCTCATCCATCCAGCGAAGAGAAGCAAGTCCAGCAGATGAAGGAAGAACAGCAGAGACAAACAGAAATGCAGAGGAAGAAGACAAAGAAAATGGCCAAGAAGAAGAGGAAAGACCTGGAACGGGTGCCCAACGCTGACTTCAGCGAGCTCTTGGAACGGCTCAGCTGACGAGGGTTTTTTTAAGGCGGAGGGAGTCGTTCGCGCGTCGGGTCGTCAAAGCTGGAAAGGAGGAGGAGAAAAGAAGGTCGCTCGACAAAACCTGGACGAAATGAAAGACACTTTTTCTTATATATCTCTTTTCCCTTTATTTTTTATTTTTTTCTTCTTCTTCTTCTCCTCCTTTTCTAGTTTATTCTTTTCTGTTATTGATTATGTGATTATTGTCACTGTTGTATTTACAGTGATTTTTTTTTTTTTTTCGCCAGGATCCTCAAGCATATATGGGTGGGAAGTTGCAAGCATGTTTTATGCATAATGTATAGTAAATTATTGTATCTTTTTTTTTTTCATTTGTCTTGGAATTTAATAAGTTGTTTTTTGTGTTATTGACTGCACAATTTTGCAGAGACTGAACATTGATGTATCTGTCCTATCCTGCTTGTTGTTGTTATATGCATCATCATTACAGCTATCTTTGTTTATTATTTTTAGTAGTATTATCATTGTTACTATTTTTGTCATTGCTATTATTATTATTATTATTATTATTGTTGTTATTATTATTATTATTATTATTATTATTATTATTGTTATTGTTATTGTTATTATTATTATTATTATTATTGCCATTATTATTATTATTATTGTCATTATTATTATTGTTATTGTTATTATTATTATTATTATTATTGTATTATTTTCATTATTTTTCTTCATATTGCTATTATTTTGAATGTTGACATACAAAATCAGAGGTTTTATATGAACTTTCATTCGTGGAGTTTGCGTATGTGCTATGACATGAAAAGTATTTTTGTAAAAATAAATACAAAGTATAATAAAAGAATGCAAACATTTGTCCATTTGTTTCATTAATGATTCTCTAGGTTTTTTGTTTCAAAGTTTATCTCTTTTCCTTCTTTCTTCTTCATCTTGTTGCTGCTGTTGTTTGTTGTTTGTTGTTGTTGTTGTTGTTGTTGTTCTTCTTCTTCTTCTTCTTCTTCTTCTTCTCTTCTTCTTCTTCTTCTTCTTCTTCTTCTTCTTCTTCTTCTTCTCCAGCTTTCTTCTGCCTCTTCATCTTCCTTTATATATTATTTCTGACATTTCAGAATTATATGATTAACTACACATTGCATCACTTACAAATTACGAAATTTTCATTGAACAGAAAAAGAAAACTGAAGAACCCTTCTTTTAGGAGAGAGACAGAGAGAGAAAGAACGGGTGTAATAAGTGGTATATTATAGTAGAAGTATCAAGTCATGAGATCTATATTGCTGAAGATGATGCTTCTTCATAACAAGTGCCTTGGGATATTCATAGGTGCTATAGAGTAGGGAAAAGCAACAATTATTAAGCTGTTATGTAAGTATGGAAGAGCAACTGAGCAATGAGCAACCTGTGGAATATTTGTTAGGTATGCCCCTATTATCATCATCAATGGGGAGTTCACGCATAGCTGCATCCGCCCTTCATTTCCACATACGAGGGTCCCTTATCGCGAGCCTCCAGGCAGGGCCAGGCCCATCTATAGCTCTTCGTGACAGGTTTGATCAATCTGCCCAAGCCACGACTTCCTAGGTCATCCCACAGGCCTCCTCTAGACAGGGTACCTCCCGGGAAACGAGCCAGGTGGCCGTATAGCCTGAGTTGGCGATCGCGGATTGTGCAAGTAACAGGTCTTGTATCAGTCTCTGGTTAGTTACATGGTCCCGCCAACTGTACCCCATGATCCAGCACAAGGATTTGTTACAAAAGGCATCAAGACGAGATTCCAAAGCACAAGACAGCTTCTAGGTTTCACTTCTTTATAGTAAAACTGGCAGTATCAGGGCCTTGAAGACACATAGCTTGGCCTTTCTGCACAGGTACTGGCATCTCCAAATACTCTTGTCGAGAGATCTCATGACCCCTGCTACCAGGCCAATCCGTTTACTGACTTCCTGGTCTGACAGTCCAGAGTCATGAACTACACTACCGAGCTATATAAAGCTCTCTGTGACCTTGATGTTCTCACCGCAAGCACGTACTAACTGAACAGGATCTCCTAGCAGGCCACTAATGTGTTGGTCTTGGTCCAGGAGACCTCTAGCCCGAGGGGCTTCACTTCACTGCTAAATGCATCAAGAGCTGCCACTGGGGTCTCCAGAGATTCAGATAGAATAGCAACGTCATCCTTAAGGTCTGCAACCCCACCATACTTTACAGCACTTTCAGTGCTTGTATACAGTCTTGCTATTGATCCAGTAATCCTTGTTGGAATTCCTCTTAGTCTCAGGATCGCACAGAGTGATTCGCGATGCACGGTATCAAGCAAGCAGTCCACGCTCGAACTCACGACGGCGCTCTAGTGACTCGAAACGCCAGGATACGGTCCATTGTAGACTCACCAGGAGTGAATCCAGATTGCTCCGGCTTTTGGTGCCTCGGCAGAGGGTTTCTGATAAGCCTCAGAAGGATGTGAGCGAGAACCTTGCCCGGTATACCGAGTAGTGTAATGCCTCGGTGATTGTTGCAGTCCCACCGATCTCCTTTCCCCTTCCAGAGAGGAATGACCGCACCCCTCAGCAGGTTAGGGGGAATGGTACCAGTCTGTCAGATGGCAGACATGACAGCATGCAAGCCCCTTGCCATAGGTTCTCCACCAGCCTTTAACAGTTAAGCTGTGGTACCGCAGATACCCGCTGCTTTACCACTCTTGAGCTTGTAGATCGCCCCCTGTCTTCTGTCAGGGAGGCTGGATCCTCGCTGATGGGGGGGGGGGGGGGGTCAGGCAAAGGAATCTCGACACTACCCGCACCCAAATTAATTGCCGGTGGATTAAACTGCTCAAAATACTCAGCCCAACGCACCCGCTCCCCAACAGGGTCTGAGATAATCTTGGCCTGCCTCCTTACAGCCACCCATTAATCCCAGGGGGCCAGAGCGTGTCCACACGCCGATGCACACACACAAATATATATATGTGTGTGTGTGTGTGTGTAAGTATTTATGTATGCACACGCATGCATAAATTCATCTTTTTTTTGTATTATTATACGTCCTCAAGTTTAGATATTCAATTTCTTTAAATGATCAAATGAGTTTCACTTTTATTTTTATTTATCTTATCGAAAAAAAAAAAACCTTCTACGACAACATCAACGAGGTGATATAAACAAGTCGCCAAACCCTCTCCTGGGTCGTGCTATTCTGGTCGCCCTGCCTCACAAGACGCTTCCTTCGTGTTGTTTTTGAGTCTACGAGATTTATGTATATATATATATATCAAAGGCCACCATCAGTCGATCAGGCATGGTCTATGGTAATAGAAAGAGACTCGATACTTAGATAATATGAAAGAACTGAAAAAAATGAGCATGATTCAATTAATCGGAAAGGCACAGGAGAAAGTTTGTACGAGATGCCACGGCTGATAAGCTCAAATATCATTCCGTTTCAGGATGATGATATATGTATAAGTATATATATACTTATATACACATATATACATATATTTACATATACATATATACATACATATACATATATATATTCTCTCTGTCTGACACTAAAGTACACTCTAGGTAAACAAGTTATATATATATACATATTCTTACAAACAACATCATTTTCATATTATAATAGTTATAGGTGACTGGCAGTTAGAATCAAAAGTGGTTCCCAAATACTCTGTCTTTTTTAGCAGTTCCATCTAATAGTACCCCTGCCATTTGTTCAGTTGCACCGAACTTCCGCCAGATGTAGACAATCTGCAAAGCCAGAATGGTTAGTTCCACTGTTCTACGCCTTATCTTTCCACAGTCTGCTGTCAGCTGCTTCGCCCTGACTGACCGGATGATTGCGTAGGCATTCACTCAACCAAGTGCTATCCTACCTACGCAATTTAGCTTCCTCGTCGTCGTCAATTCTGGGTATCATCAACCGGTTCGCCAGAAGTAGCAGTCTCACCTCCATTGGCTCGGCGAGTCCATTGATAGAAGCTGGCAACGGCGCCCCGGAATATCATTTTCATCCGCATGTACAGATTGACAGAGATCTCCGCTCCGCAAGGCTCAGTGACCGGCGCTTCGCAAGCCTCAGTGACCGGCGCTTCGCAAGCCTCAGTGACCGGCGCTTCGCAAGCCTCAGTGACCGTCGCTTCGCAAGCCTCAGTGACCGGCGCTTCGCAAGCCTCAGTGACCGGCGCTTCGCAAGCCTCAGTGACCGGCGCTTCGCAAGCCTCAGTGACCGCCGTTTCGCCAGCATCGCGAGTACGGAACCGCTTCCAAAAGAAGTAGGCACTCAGCGCAGCAGCGGCGATAAACACGACGACAAGGGACAAGAAGGTGATCCACCAGACAAGCCGATCCCCCTTCTCGTTGAGGGCCTCGACCGCTGCGGCCATTTTCGGTTCGCAGAGCCTCTCGTGCTTCAACCGACGATAAGTGATCCACGCCGGCAGCAGCTTCGCCAGAAAAGTGCTCTCCTCAAAAGCTCCGCAAACGCCCTCAGGCATCGCAGGCGGAAAGACTAACTGCAGCGGCTTCAGCAGCTTGTGGCCAAACTTGTAGGCCGTTCGAAGGTCATTCTAGCGCTACATTATGCCGTCAATTTTCGACTTCATAATATAGGTCGACACAAAACTCGCCAAGAATGAAATTGATAGTAGAGCTGAAGTTAACCCTAGGTATTTCAGTTTCGCAATAATTTATTGTAGCAAATCTTCCATATTTTTAATCACATCTACTTAAATGCCTGGATACGGGAATGAGCATAAAAAATCCATTTCATTGATGACTGGGCCTTTTTTATTATGTAAAAACGAGGAAATCTTAGTTTGGTAAACGTTTCAAAAATGGCGTCGAGCTCCCAATCGATAAATCACAAACCTTAGGAAACATCGACAAGATTAATGGCTTCTTAGAAAAATGAAGGTAATTACGGTGAACTGACAATTTAAGCGAGGCGTTCACACTGAGTAAAACAAAACGTGTGTGTGTATATATAATGTATATATACACATATATAAATAAATAATATATATATATATATATATATATATATATATATATATATATATATACATACACACACACACACACACACACACACACACACACACACACATATATATATATGTCAAAGGCCACCATCAGTCCATCAGGTATGGTCTATGGTAATAGAAAGAGAGGTAGACCCAAGACTCGATACTTAGATAATATGAAAGAACTGGAAAAAAAATTAGCATAATTCAATTAATCAGAAAGGCACAGGAGGAAGTTTGTACGGGATGCCACATATATACATATATTTACATATACATATATACATACATATAACCTAGCCACTGGATGGACAAGCTAACCCAAGTCAGTGCCGGTCCCAAGCCCGGGTAAATAGAGAGGGTTGGCGTCAGGAAGGGCATCCGGCCGTAAAAAAGATATCTGCAAGAACCTGATTATAGCTATGGGACATAGCTATAATAAAATATCTACACAGGGACCGCCGTGGTGCAGTGGCCGGAGGGTCCGCAAGCGTACACGCGCACAAACACACACGCAGTGTCACCCTTGCCTGATTGAATGCCCTTCCTATATGTATATATATATATGGGTCTCTTAACCCTGGGTTGGTTGCGGAGGCACAAATGACGATTTCGTTACAATCTCCCGCCATCTCCAACGGTCATGGGCTTCTCGTTGCGAGTCTGTAAAGGAGTTATGTCCATTCTTTGGTGTTTTCTTTCCACCTCTTCTTCTGCCCTCCTCTCTGTCTGCCTCCTGGCACTGTGCCTTGCGAGATGGTTTTCGCTAGGCCGTTTGATCTTGTCACGGGTCCATACCAGGTCATTTTCCTTTTCTTGACAATGCTTTAC